GAGCAGATATGGAACATGATTTATAGCCATGGTTAATAGTGCATAAGAGCAACCGTCCATATTGTTTTCCCCCTTTATTCATAGCAACTCGTCGGAACAGCTGAACGACCCGGAACTCCGCGCCCGATATATGATGCAAAGACATCTACGCGTGACACACCTTCAAAACTTTGCTGCGGCGCCGATTCTTGATCGGTATCCAAGCGCGCGAAGGCAGAGACACGCAGCGCTTCGGCGTGCCAAGGAAGCTTTGATCACGCCGCGGTAAATTTGATTTCGACGAGTTGCACCTTTTTCCTGCGGCACTGCGCTTCTGTAAAACTTTTCATGTGTTATCAACGGCAAGTCTCACGGCTTACACAAGGTTTTAAATAAATTCATCGGTGAATATCGACGAACTAGTAGAACACGTATCATCAGCACGCTGCCGCCAGCATGCGCAACGCTCCAAAAAGGCAATTTTTCGACATGTGACATGGCCGTACGGTGGCCGCATTCGCGGAGCGGGGGTGTGCGACGTGAAACGAACACACCACTGCCTAAGACAATAACTTTTTTTATATATAGATATATAGACTAAAGAAAACATGACAGGCTCTCTTAAATTTCAGAACGCGAGAGCGCCCATTATAATTATTCAACGAGCACGGTTCAGTGTTTTTGATTTCTTCCGTTCTTACGGCAACGGAAAGCGAAAAGGTACGAACAGGAAGTGTTCAGAAGAAACCAGAGCAAACCAAACTCCCATGGCAATGAGCCCTTGTCCTGCACACGTGAATCGGGTCGAGTCTGATGCGAGGATGCGTTGACCTCGTGCGACTGAGTGGGGAAAGCGGAAGCAAGAAGGTTGAGCGCGTTTTCTGCGTTGGTTTTCTGACACAACACGCGCTATCGCGTTAAGTTACGCGTCTTTCATTCCTTCTGCACTTCGATTATCTCGAACAGCCGCATGCGAAAATGATCTACTTACCTTTTAAGTGCGGTTGAATGTTGACAGGTGAAAGCGGCGACAACAAAGTCATGGAAGAGCTGGTGGTTGTTCCCGCGCGAGCGAGAGTACGCAGCGGTGTCGACGGTGCGGCCAGTAAACATCACGTGGCGGACGTCTTCGTCCGCGAGCTGAGTGCGCCGGCTTTCGTCTCCCCCTGCCGCTCCAATGGCGAAATGCGCCAAAGCAAAGAGATCTTGCCTCGACGGCGTTTTGGCCGCGCGCCTCTCAGCGCCTTCTCTTTCTTTTTTTTGTTTTTTTTTTTTGTTTTTTTTTGTTTTTTTTGTTTTGTTTGTTTACAGCGTGTGTCTTGCAGGCTGGACTCACTCTAAAAAAAGGGGTGTAGTACTTGCACCCAGTGGGGTGTATGTGACTTGTCCCATGTATGACACCCCATGGGTATATATGCGACACCCCAAAAAGGGGTGCATACATGCACCTCATTTTGAGGTGCACATGTGCACCTCAGCGGGTGCATAAGACACACCCCACCCCGGGGTGTACACATATTCCGTTTCTCACTTACTGGGAATACTGATACACCCCATTTTTAGGTGTACATATATTCCGTTTCTCACTTGCTGGGAATACTGATACACCCCATTCTTAGGTGTACGTGTATTCCGTTTCTCACTTACTGGGAATACCGATACACCCCATCCTTAGGTGTAAGTATATTCCGTTTCTCACTTACTGGGAATACTGACACACCCCATTCTTATGTGCAGAGATATTCCGTTTCTCACTTACTGGGAATGCAGTTACACCCCATTGCTAGGTGTACTTATATACCGTTTTCCACACCATTCTTACTTACTGGGAACGGATAAACCCCACTCTTAGGTGTACATGTGCGAAGTCAACAAAACTAACACTAGAACATTTTCCATCAAATTGACAGGAAATGTCTTTGGAGCTCTTTTCCAAGCTTTTAACCGTCAAACGACGGTGTTTTGTGTCATTTTCATGTCCCATTTGTCAACCCGAAAACAATCAAGCTGCCGATCCCACATTCTATCGTCATTTCATTATATGGCCTGACATCATTTTGACGTCCTAACTGCCAACCTGAAATACAATTGAGAGCTTTTGTGCCACTCCTGCGAATATAACATTGTCACGATCATGCAATATTTTATAAAATAAGCTACGAAAATTGGTATCTGTTCCTACATATTTATTGCTCATAAACACTGGGTGAAATATATACTACAAAAATACACATTGAATGCTTGCACCAGAAACGTCGCTTGTTTCTTTTCTTCTTCTTTTTGCATGTCTTATCTTTTAGTCGTGTGCCTTGGGTGTTGACCACCAAAAAGAGCCATGGAGCATTCCTGAAAAGCAAAGCCCAGTTGTATACCATGATTAGATACATATAAGACACTGTCAAGGCCCCACACCTTACTTAATGAGCATTACCAAAAACCAGGAACTCAGCCAACTTCATAAATATTTTGCACACCATTGCAGAATAGTGGGGTGGAAAGGTTACCACTTTAGATACAGGTGCAAGGCTGGAAAACCGAAACCACAGATAAAAAGCATCTGTTTTCAATATACTTAAACTGATTTTGGCGGTTTTCAACAATTTCAGCCTGTTTCTTATCGCAACTGTGTTTATTTTTTACTAATACAATGCACAATTAGCCGAAAAATGCCATAAGCAACCTTGTACTCAGTGGTGCCTAACCAGATAAACGAATGCCAACACCAGAGGTGTCCTAATGCAAGCTTCCTGTAACAAAATTTTGGACCATCTAAAACAGTGCTCTCTAACACATTTGAGTGTAGAGGCCAGATAGCTCACCCCCAAAAGATCGAGGGCGTCTGTAAGGCATGGGGGTCAAGAAATTTGTTAAAGGGACCTTGCGCTCTCCACATTTTGTAACTTGCAATCTTGACAGTGACATTTTTAGCCGCGATTCATTTGTAGTGCTCCCCTTATCCCTTTCCTGATGCAATCACAAGAATTAGAGTGGTACTGCCGCCAACATACTGGCATTTTGTAAGAGGACAAGAGAACGAGTACACTGTTGTTGCCGTTGCTTATTTCACTCAGGATATATTCAAGCTCAACATGTCTCGAAAGAATTCCTTTTGCTTTTTTGAGAATTTCTGATAGCACCAGTCTGAGCGAATACTTGTATTTTAATGGTGATATTTTCTGAAGGCGAGAATCCAGGGCTCATGAATTTATCTTTGGTGGTTGCTTCTGACAAGCGAGAGTTCATGCAGTTAAAGTGCATCCTTGGGCAAAGAGCCTACCAGCGGAGTTGTCGTGCAGGTGCTAAATACAAAAAAAAGACGGGAAGGAAAACTAGAGACTAAACACCTGAAAAATAAAAACGAAACTGCATTACCTATGTGGATATGCTATAAGAGCATAGCTACGTTTCTAGCGTAAATGAATAGACCGATCCCACCAAGCGTTCCACGTATGTGTGACGCCGCCATAACTGTAGTTCGTAGGAGGCAGACTCCAGTTCACGCGAAAGCTCATGCTGCCTCGTGGTCTGCTCGCGCAAACCTCCAGCGTGGTTGTCGCGCGTGTAGAAAGACTACAGCTCCCACGATGCATATCGGCAGCGGTGGCGTACTCAAACTAGCTGGTGAGATCGGTCTATTAGCGACATATTTTAATGCATGCCATTTGTAATGCTCGTTATGAGAACGGGAGCTTGCAGCTGGTTTCCTGTGGGCCGTGTTCAAGCAAGTCGCGAGCTGCGTCTTCAAGCACTGAGCAGATTAATTTTACCAAGTTATCTATTACCTGCCAGTGCACCATAATCTGTACAATGGTGAATATATTCCGAGTCACTACTTGCGCGCAGCACAGGCTAAGGCAATGCCCGAAGATGGGAAAGGGCAAGCGCTAGAAAGGCAGGTGAGGAGAGTAACCTCCTCTCCTATCTAACATTCGTAGTGCTTTCCCCCTCTCCCCCAGCCCTGCCCTCCCCTCCCATATGCCTTCCTAGTGCTCGCCTTTTCTCTCTTCGCATGGCATTGCATTCACCTGCACTACACACAACTAGTGACACGGAGTATAATTGAAGGACGGTACACTCACAGATGTCGAAGCACTTGAAGAGTTCGCAACTTCGGTGCAATGCCACTGGTTGCACTTTTGTATCGCACTTCAGATGAGTTGATTTGCCCGAAGTACCTGGAAAATAATAAGAATGATAGAATAAATTAATGTGCCATAAACCAGGGCTGGGCAGACACGCTCCAAAAAGTATTCGGGAATACTGAGATACATCTGCTTTAAGGTCAAAAATACAGATACTGAGATATATTGTCTTTTATGCAATGCTATATCCCCAAGACACTTCTGCGAAACAGGTGAAAAAGTATTCAGTAATACAGATACAATGTGTAGTTGTATCTGTATTGTCTTTTATGCAATGCTATATCCCTGAGACACTTTTGCGAAACTGGTGAAAAAGTATTCAGGAATACAGATACAATGTGTAGTTGTATCTGTATTGTAGAGGGTGTAGTTCGTGGGGAATATGTACGGTCAGTGGCGTTCCAACTTGTTTTCGAGTCAGGAAGAGGGGGGGGGGGGGAGTGCTCTTGGTATCCCTTGGGCGCCGCCGGCCAGTCTTTAACCTGCCCTGTGGCGGCTGTTTTAGGGGGGTGGCAGGGGGGGGGGGACAACACATGCCTTGCGCCCCCCTTGCCCCCCCCCCCCCCCCCCCCCCCCGGTTGGTACGCCCATGTGAATGGTATCTATGCTTTGCTCCTTGTTTGTGCCATTTTATATGCTGCCCTTACTTCAAACTCTTTTTTATCATTAATGCCGCTAAAGAAAACATGTCACCCCCGTTGAATCAAAAAGTTACAAAATGGTAAAGACTGCTTGCCATGCTTGACGAAAGGCGTCTGCCAAATTTAAACCTGTTTTGCCGTGAGGGCAGCCTGTGCATCAGAGATTTGAGTCATCAGTACATGTAATCTAACCAAGTACCAAGCCTAATCACACAATATAAGCCTAGCAGTCTGACAAGTAAAGAAGAAAACAGGGTCCAGCGGATAGTCAATTGCTCACCTTGCCAGACGGTGCCTCGGGACTATGGTGGCATCTGCTAGGTGCAGAGCTTCTGGTCTGTGCATCAGAGAATAGGCATTAGCAAACATGATTTATCCAAGCACCAAGCCTAGTTTCACAAGATACGCTAACAACCTGAGAAAAAGAAAAACAGTCTGCAGCATAGTTGATTGCTTACCTTGCCAGACAGAGCCTCGGGACTATGGTAGCGTCTGTGCTACAAGCAGAGCCTCTCGCCTGTGCATTAGATTACTCATTAGTATACGTGATCTAGACAAGCACCTAGCCTAGTCACACAATTTTACTTAGCAGCCTGACAAGTAAAGAAGAAGAAAAAAAGAAAATAGGGTCAGCAGGGTAGTGAAATGCTTACCTTGCCAGAACGCGCCTCGGGACAATGATGGCATCAGTGATAGGTGCAAATGGTCATTAGTAAACGGGACATAGCTAGGCACCAAGCCTAATTTCACAATACATGCATTACAAACTAAAAAAAAACAAACAGTGCAGGATAGTTGGTTGCTTACCTACCCAGAAAGGGCATCGGGACTATGGTAGCGACTGTGCTACTAGCAGAGCCTCTCGCCTGTGCAGTAGAGATGAAACTCATTAGTACACGTGATCTAAGCAAGCACTTATTCTAATTTCACAATATATGCTTAACAATCTGACAAGAAAACAAAAATCAGCAGGCTAGTTGATCGCTTACCTTGCCAGACGGTGCCTCGAAACTATGGCGACATCTGTGCTAGCAGCAGAGCATCACTCCTGTGCGTTAGAGATTCGAGTCATTAGTACATGTGATCTAACCAAGCATCTTATGTTATCTCACACTTCACAGGTGCGTGAGATGACTTGCATACTACAAGCACAAGGAGACAGTCGCGTTTTTGAACCATTAAGACTGCGACACCTAATTGTTGCTGTAGTGTGACAAAGTGTATGCTTCACAAATGAAAAAATGCAATAAAACGTATAGTCTAATTTTAAAAATTTTGCCCAAGAAAGAATCTGACAAGTAGGGTACCAACATGACAATTCAAAGTTAGCCAAACTCGAGCTTCGCTAAAGTTAGCATCCGCGGGTACAGCCACTGCACATGTTTCCGAATAGAGCTCTCAAAGTAACGCCAAACTGAGCACCACACACACCGAAGCTGGTGAATGCTGTCCTAGAGTTCCTTCATAGGCTCTCTACGGGAGTCAGAGTTGCGCGTCTGTTATCCACACGCTGACACGCCGCTATTCGCCTAGGTCCGATCATGTGAGGAGCAAAATCCAAATACTGTGCAGGAAAGCCGCCGATACGGCCGTTTCGCCGACGTTGCAATCTCCTCAGCGTACGTTCCCCTGCTTTTGTCTGCTCCTCCTTTCCTGTTTTTCAGAAAAGAAGGAGCACGTTGCTATTCGCCCAATCTAGTGAGATGAGGAGCAGAATTTCGTCCCCTGCAGGAAAGCCGGTGCTCCGGGGTGAACGCGCAGCTCTGGCTCAGGGTTGACAGGTTGAGCTATAAACAGCCCAATTGGGCTACTCAGTTTTGTAATAGGCAGGAAAATCTGGTGGTTGGCTCTTAAGCTATTTCATACCCGATATTCAACAATTTTCAAAGCCTTAAACATGATATTTCTGCGCCGGGTAGAGAAAAACAATCAACTCAAGAGGTTAGGAAAGGAAAATATCCAAATCACAAGCGTGCAAATACAATATGTGGACCCTCATTGGTGTTGGTTGCGGAGGTGCAATATCGTTTTCTGAAGTATGTTGGCACGATTTAATATCGCAAGCAGGGGTGGAGGAACGTGTTTCCAGAAAAAGGGAGGAAGAGGAGTGGGGGCAGCTTAACAGATGTTTGAGAACCCCCTTCTTTCATTGCACTAAAAGATACATGGGGACGCTTTATCATCTTATTGCCTTCTTCTGTAAATAATTGTCTTATGTCATGTATCAAGTACCCGTGTTCCAAAGAGATGTAAATACCTTGTATGAAATTTTATGTGTTGGGCTATTTTTATAGCCCGACATTTGGCTATTCTTGGACACAATATCAGGAAATTTTGACGGGTTAATCTGCAAATACTTGGCAACCCTGCTCTGGCTACCGTAGGGGGCCTACGCAGGAACTCCATGCTGCCCTAGAGTTCCTGCAATGGCAGCCGAAGGGAGTCAGGAGTTGCGCGTTCATCCCAGTAGCTCCGGCTTTCCTGCACTTCAAGTCTGCTCCTTACGTGATTGAGTTCGGGGAGTAGTGGCCGCCGCGCTCTACCTCCTCATTTTCTGGAAAGCAGGACAGGAGGAAGCAAACGCGGGGGTATGCACACCGAGGCGCTTGCACCGTCGACGAAGCCGCCGTACCGGTGGCTTTCTTGCACGGCATTTGGAGTCTGCTCCTCACGTGATCGGATATCGGCAAATAGTGGCGCGCCGGCACGTGGAAACCAGACGCGCAACTCTGGCTGGAGCCTATAATCTCAATGCTGCACTAGAGTACCAGTTCCTGTATAGGCTCCCTACGGGAGCCAGAGTTGCGCGTCTATTTTCTACGTGCCGCCGCGCCGCTATTTGCCGAGATCCGACCACGTACCGTGCAAGAAAGTAACGTTGCACGCGCCCCGCCGTACGAACCCCTGCTTTTGAGCGCGCCGCGCGCCTCGTCGGTTCGAGAGTCAATGGTTCCAGTACCCTCTCCCTCTTCGTAGTGGCCGAGCAGGGAGGGAATATGGTTTCGTTGTGTCGACCTCGGGGGCGGAAGATTACGCACGATGGGGACAAAGGCGAGTTTGGGGGAGCAGTATCTAGGTCACAGCGCCTCAATGATTGAACAGGATGTAGCTGACGTTTTGGGTGTGGAACGGGTGGGAGAGGCCCTGCACGCGCGTTGTTTTCTCGCCTGTTAGCCTAGTGTCGAGGTGGCAGCACATATTCGCCAAGAGGTCCAAAAGTCGCGTGAGGAGCTGGATCAACATGCCGTGCAGGAAAGACGGCACTACGAAGATGAATGCGCAACTCTGACTCCCGTAGGGAACCTATAAAAGAACTCTAACTGCCTTGTTCCGGAGCGCCACCTTAGTTCCATCATCCCCACTGAAAATCGCATTGCATAACCATACGTGCGAGCGAAGCCGGTAACAAGCGCGAGCATGTTGCTCTGCAATCGAACTACGTTTCACCGACAGATCGTTTTATAGATACGCGATGATTCATCGCCAGAATGCTTCATCGACAGCACAAGCTACCTTTTTTCTGTAAGGAGCTGCCTCACACTGTTGCCACGAACCGGATAGTACGTATAGCATACACCCGCGACGAAATCTCCCTACAACGCTAAATCCGCGTAACGACTGTCGATGGAACGGTAGTGTCGACGAAGGAGAGTCCATGAAACATCTGTCCACAAAAAAGTGTTTTTGGGCGAAACGATAGAGACACGTTGCTCTGAATGACGCCAGCTCTACACGCAAGAATAATGTCTCCAAGCTGCGATGTCGTGCTCGTTTGTACACTCAGAGAACCGGACACCGCCACCGCGCACACATGCCACAAATACAAAAGCGAAGAAACTCTGACATAAACAGGAGAAAAAGGAAAGCACGTCCAGCTAGCAGGCCCCATGCCTCGCAAAACGCAGCATCCAACGAGTGCATGTATACGGCAGACTTACCTTTATCGGGCGGGCACATCTTGGTCTGTGACTGCAGTGCAGCTACGTACTAAGCATCGCTTCGTGAACACGATCCGCTTTGTCCAACCACCTTCTAAAATAACACGCAATTCAAAATAGCGCGAATGAACAAAGGCGATGTCACCCGCCAGCCGAAGCAAAAGTACGGCCGCCGAAGCACGCCGAGATGGAATGCAGGAGGTGAGGAGGTCAAGTCTCCTAGCGACACGAAGGCCAGATAACGCGCGAAACGCGATCGCTATCGCGATAGGTTGTCAGTCGGATGACGTGTAACCAGTGACTGCTAATCAGGACGCGCGCTCTACTCTATTACCGCGCGCATTTTGTTTGTTTTCTTGCGCTCTCCTGATAGCACTCCCTCTCCCCTTTTTGAAAAAGGAAAGGGGGGGGGGGTGTAATGGTGCACCTGGCAACACCCTCGCCTCGCCCGCCGATTCCTTTGCGAGAGGAGGATTCGCGTGATGGGAGTGCGATTACGCTCGCCGGGTGTCTCCAGTCGAAGGGGGGTGTAAGGGTGCGCGATACACCCACATACACCCTTTTTTTCTGAGAGTGCTCCGTCACTCCTAAGCTGAAATTGTAGAGAAAGCTATTGGGTGCCCGGTGAACTAACCGCACGTCTGTCCTTAATCACGTGATCACGCTCCCTCCTGTAACCGCGCGCAGAGAGCGGGGCAGGTGGTAACTGGTCCGGTGGGCGCTTAGCTCGCCCGGCACTATCAGCTTAGGAATGAAAGGAGTCTTCCCTCAAGGACGCCGAGTCCGCTTACGAAGAGATTTGGAGATTGGTGATGGTGTAGGGCAGTGTGGGGAAAACGGGAGGGGAACTGTTCTCTCATCACCCTCTCTCGCCCTTTACCAGGGAAAGATAGAGGTCTTGCACCTGGCCGAGCGACCTTGTAAGCATTCCGTTTCGAGGCCGTCGGTGTGTGCGCCTTTCCCCCCGTGCGGCGGAAGGGCGCGTCGAATTCTTTCGTTTTTCTCTGCTGGTATTCGCTTGCCGGGTATGCAAAAAGCCAATGTGGTAGCGGTTGCTTAGGCATGACACCTCTAGCAAGAAGACAAAAACTCTGGCAGACACGACGCTCCGAACTCAGCTTGAAGCCTAATGTCAAAAATAAAAAGAGAATGATAACTTAAATGTCTCCCAACGAAAAAAAAAAAAAAAAAAGAGGTAATATGATTTTCAAGAAAATCGTCAGCCACTTTCGCGTTGCCTCGGAGCACCAGCGAAGCTAACTAGGTTATGCCTCAAAATAAACAAAACAACAAAACATGCGCACCAAAACAAAACAAAAAAAGAACATGCACGCAAACATGTGGATTGCGCCAGATCGGTAGTCTAAAATACCAACCACATGTGGGCGATCGTACGGGTGTAGCATTATAGCCTCACGTGCAGAATCCCTGTGCGAGCTTCAACTAGCATTGTTCCATGTCTTAAGCTAATATGTTGAGGGTCTACGAATGACGGCAAGATTACGTTACACACGCTCGCGTGCACACTTGCTGTCTCTTAATTAAAAGCAGAAGGCTCAACCGTCACGGGAGGACCCGGCCGTATGATCTGGGGATTCGAGTCATGGGCTTCTGATCAAGCTAGCCTTTTAAAGGCGGGGCTAAAGGGTGGGGTGTCAGTCGTGGGGCATTTGGCACGGGCTTTTGACATTGGGTGCTTTCGTGCACCACCAGATCGTACACAGGGCATAAACTTCCTGTAAAACGGTCTCCCTTGTGGAACATCGCAGACCACTGTGATAAGTGTTCGTATGATTTTTTGCTAGATAAAATACCTATTCCGGGCAAGTATGTACCGAAAACAGAGGGGAAAATTTTAGAGGCATTCAAAATCAGTGTAAAGAAGGATGACGGTTGCATCAGTGCGTCGTCACTCGTTTCATCAAATAAGAAATTCAGATTCATTTGGGGTGAGGTATAATAATGTCTGTATATATGTTCGTGTTTTCCAAATAAAATTCAGTAGCCAGTAGCGCTCCGAGTGTGCACTCGTACTTCTTTGTGCTCGCTTTTTTTTTTTTTTTTTTGCGTTTTGCGTTTTGCGGCTGACGTTATTTCCGGCTAAACTCTAAA